ACTGGAATTCTCCGAAGTTTTTATAACACTATTAGACTCTTCTTTGAGCAAAAAGAATGTATAACTACTCTGCAAGCTTAACAGAAGAATCGTGATGAAATCGATCATAAACGAAAAATGACATGTTCATCATTAATTAATCATAGCTAAGGATCAGAAGCTCATGGAAGATTGAAGTAACGTTCAAATATATATATATATATTATTCCTGCATCATATCCAACTTATTCAAGATCGGCTTTGCTCTCTCTAACCTTCTAACTTTCTGTCCTGGAGGAACATAGTTGCTATATCAAAACTTACACGTACGATTTCATATATATATATATATATATATATATATATATATATTGATTTAAAAATAACTTTAGACATTGTTTTTTCGTAATTTTTCCTTAAGAATTCTATCGACCAACACTTCTTCAGAAGGATTCGTTTGTCTGATTTCTTGTGAATATTGTAGTCCATCTGGTCCAAAATCCGACCAAGCAATATTTCTGAAGGAGTGTTGGCCGATAGACATTGTTAAGGAAAAATTATTCCTGTTTTAAAAAGGAAAAAAATGCCTAAATTCTTTTTAAATCAATCTATTTATTCTGTGTCAGATTATATTATATATATATATATATATATATATATATATATATATATATATATATATATATATATATATATATATATATATATATATAAATATATTAAAAAATGATTCTATTCTTAAAGCCCTCTCTGTAAACAGAAGGACTTCGTATGTTGGGCCTTGAACCAATTTCCATCTAAGCAATAATTTTTTTTCAATACATATTGTTGTCTTTTTTTTGCATGTTAATTCTCTTTATCAACCTCGATTTAGCTCTCTCATGGATTGAGGTTCTCAACCATTTTGGCTAGCCTTTAATTTCAGTTTTAAATTTTTATTTATTATGGCAAAAGAAAGGGTTTTAGACAAAACATATCTTTATATATATATAATATATATATATTTTTAATTTTTAAATCAATATTGAAATGATGACAGAAAATTCATGTTTTAAACAAAAAAAAATTAATTATTTAAATTAATTGAGGAAAAAATAAAATGTTCTTACAAATGAAATTTCGCTTGGAAGAAAAACTTCTTTTCAAATTTGCAATTTCAAAAAATTTATTTATATTTATATATATATATATATATTGATATATAAATTATATTAAATAATTATATTGAAGTTTTTGGCTCTTGTTTTGAAAAATGGTCATTTTTTTAAATAAATAATTATATTTATGCTCTACTTTTGTATCGAGCACTATTTTTTAAAAATAATAACTAAAATACTAAGGAACTTTGGATTATTTACCTAACCAGTTCCTTCCTATTTTCTATATATTTTCACACACACACACACACACACACACACACACATATATATATATATATATATATATATATATATATATATATTCAGTATTAATGGATCTAGTTTTAAAAACTTATAACCATTTGATAATTTAAATCGTGTATTTTTAGAAACTATTTATTTTATATATTTTTATATATTAAAATGACTATTTTTATTCAAAATAACGTTATTTTTAGTCGGTATCCATATTTGATTGTCTATTTTAAGTTTGGATAGGAAACTCAGCATAAAGAAAATTTTCTTTAAAATCTTTGGCGAATAAATTTTTTTTTATTAAAGGCGCAAAATTTGTCCATTTTTATATAGTTCTCGTCGTAAACTTCAGGGTTAGATAGATAGAAAATTTATTATTATAGATACGCATGTCTGAAAGAATAAAGTACAGATATTATGTCTGCTAATTTTTTTAAAATCAGTTCATATTCAAATAAATAACCTTCCGTATGTATTGATATTAAAAGGATGAGAGAAATATACTATAATTGTTTAAATTTTTTTTATTTTCATTTCCCATTTATAAATAAGTATATATAAACTTCGTATAAATACCTGTACCTCTGAACAACATGGTTTTGTACTACTTGCATCCCTGAAGATGATCTTGGAAGAAGATCGAAAGTATTGAGAAATGAAAATAAAAATAGAAATTTAAAATTTTAAATTTCTTTCAACGTGTAATTCGTTGCTTTCAAAGTGCTGGTTTTTAACGGTTTGCCCTCTCTATTCTGATGGATGCAGGTTCAAATCCTATAAATTCAAATCCATTAAAGAAAATAGAGGAATATAATTAAATATACTGGTCAATTAATAAGCAGAACGTCTATTTAAATACAGTATCCACTAAAAATAAACGTTTAAAGTGATAAATAATCTATTGAATTAATAAACACCTGTTACTTTTCGTATATTGAGTTGGTTAGATTGAGTTTTCATGTAAAGGCCAATCAAAAATTTAAAAATTTCACTGGTTATTAATCATAAACGAATTTAGAGCGTAAATTTTCACGCTGATTCGTTTCCATTTTTTTTCAGAAATTTTTGTTTACGTTTGAATTTATTTTATAATATGAACATTTTTACTGGATCTATGATAAAAAAAATTTTTAAAAAATAAAAAAAGTCGGCCTTCCCTGATCAACTTTCTTTTTCATTTAAACTTTTTTACAATGTACTAAGGATATCTACATAATGTTATAAATAATAAATATATATATTTTTTCTGCAAGAAGAGGGTAAATGGTTCAGAATCCTAATTAGCATAAATTTGTCTTTATAAGATTTCCAAAAACATTTTCAAGCAGGTAGACCAAAAATATTGTTTACTTCATAAACGGAGCGTCTATCAAATAAGTATCCCCAAAATAATATTTCACTAATAAATGAGACAGATAGATCGATATATATATATATTGAAATGTTTTTTTTAAAGAGAGAGATTTTTGAGGGAGAGAGAAGAGAGAGAATTCTCTTGAAAAAATGAAATAAATAAAGATAAAATTTTAGGTTTAATTAAAAAAAATCAAAATTTCTTATATATGAAATGAATGAAAATATCGATATATATATATATATATATATATATATATATATATATATATATATATATTGAGACAGAACATACAAGATATTATTTTAATATAAATTCATTTATACGTTTATTTAAAAATAAATATATTTAAAATGTGCTCTGTTTATAATAAACAGTATTAAACAACACTTAAAATTTGAATTTTGGGAACAATTTTTCATGACATGAAATAATCATGGAAGATTGTAGTTTAAAGATAGTAAAATCGACCTTTTGCTAACTGAACGCTCCATGTGGCCAAATCGGTTAAAGGCAAATCAGGCTATAAAATTATTTCGTATAGGAACAGGTTCGATTCCTGTCGGAGGACGAATATTTTCTATGAAATTTTCTCGAAATGTTGTTTAATCTTGTTTATAATAAATAGAGCATTTACTTAAATATTTGTATCTATAAAAGAATGTATAAACATAAAATATTCATTAAAATATTTGTTTTAATATAAGTTTATATAATTATATATGTAATCTACTAGGGAGCTTATAATATACATATATGTGGGTGTGTGTGTTTATCGTAGTCTGTCACAAATAAAATGACGCATGTAGTCGAAGCAACAGAGAACAATTTTTTTTCATTTATATCTGAATGTCTAGAAATAAAAATAAATAAGTATGTCCTCGGAATTTTATAAACCTATATCCTACAATGTCCGTCGTTTATATCCTTTGGTTTTATAAGGCTCTTATAGAAAAACGTCTGGGAAACTAACATTCAAATTACTGTTTTTTAAACTCAAATTTCCTATGATTTCTCTTCTTGAATGTTACCGCATATTTAACTTTTGTGTATCTATAGGTAAAAAAAATGATTTCATATATATCTATAAAACAGAAGATGTCTGTGTGTGTGTGTATGCTATTTATGATTTTCCACATTTCTCGACCGATTTCAATGAAATTGTATAATATATTACAAATTTATTTTAGTCATGTCAAAAACCAACTTTTCAATCTCCAGCCTCCTACCAGAATTTTGGAAGAAGTATCATCAAATTGAAGGTGGGTTATCTTTTTCGAAAAAAATCTTTAGCAAAAAAAATATAAGAACAAAATTTTTTTTGGATGATCTGATATTCTTTTGAAAAATAAAAATAGCTAATTCTTATGAAGTTTATGTAGAAATTGATAGTTTTCCTGCGACATTGGTTTCAATAAAAAATTGCAAAAAATGTTTAAAGGTCAAGGTTTTTATATACTTAAAAATAAAAAAAATTGGATAACTAAATCATTGTGTATCCGATTTTTTTCAAACATGTCGCAAAAAATTTGCCATCACGCAAGAAAAAAGATAGCATGATTTTACTCTTGCTCATTTTCCCGCGTATAAAGAAAAAACACAAAAAACTGTTACAAATTCCAGTTTTTCGGCCATAACTCCCTGGTTTTATATCCGCTGATTTCCAAATTTGCCATGTAAATTGCATATGACACACAAATTGTCTTGCGTGAATGTTTGGTTTAGATTATTTCAGTTAAGTGGATGAAATCTGCCACAAAGTAGGTCCAAAATCGTCTTTTGCCATTTAGCCAATAGATTCTTCCTATGATTCCATCCTAAATTGGGATTCGAACAACTTTTGATGCAAAGATTGTTTGAGAAGGATTATTTGAAGCGTTAAAAGGCCAACATTCCCGAATAACATCTGCCTTTTCAGAAGGTTAAGATTAAATTGCCAGGTGATATTGTTCTGGTGAACTGCTGGATTATATAATTGAAAATTTGTGTATTTATGCAGCAAATTCTCTTTTATGCATGTCTGATTGAATAACTTACAGATATCATATTTGCTAATTTTTAGCAAAATCATTTCGTACTCACTAATAATCTTCTGTGTATAATGAAAAGGTAGATTGAAGTAAAGATGATCATGGAAAAAGATCGAAAGTACTTGGAAAATAAAAGTAAAAGAAATTGAAACAGCTATATCAAATTTCCTTCATCCTAAAGATTGAGATATGTGCAGAGATTGATAGATAGATAAACATTAAATGACCGAGATAGATAGATAGTCAACAGACATAGATGGATAGATAGATAGATATGAACAGAGATAGATAGATAGATAGATAGATAGATAAATAATGGATAGATAGAATAGATATGAACATAGATAGATAATAGATAGATAGATAAAAACAGAATATATTAGATATGAAGAGAGATAGATAGATAGATAGATGTTTTTTAAATAGATAGATATTTAGATAGATATATAGATAGAATAATTTGAAGAAACTGAGATAGATAGATAATAGATAGATATGAACAAAGATAGATAGATAGATAGATAGATAGATTTGAAGAAACTGATTAGATAGATAGATAGATATGAAGAGAGATAGATAGATATAGTAGATAGATAGATTTAGATAGATAGAATGAAATGAATGAGATAGATAGATAGATGATAGATAGATAGATAGATAAATAATGAACAGAGATAGATATGAATATAGATATTGAAGAAACTGAGATAGATAGATAGATAGATATATATTTTGAGATAAATAGATAGATAGATAGATAGATAGATAAATATGAAATATGAATATATATATAATAAATAGATAGATAGATAGATATGAAATGATAGATAGATAGATTGATAGAAATAGACAGCAATGAGGGATGCTGAAATTAGCATCAATTAGCTACAAATTTTAATTATATTAGTTCACTCTCTCTCTTTTTATACACAAACACACACACACACACACATATATATATAAAGAAAATAAGATATAATAATTATAAAATAAAATTTCATATAAAGAAAGATGTCTTTAAAAGCTGATTATTGGTAACGCCTATAAAAATTAATGATGTCTCAATTTTTTTGCTTTTGTTTCTTTTTGTTACTTTTTTTGTTTCTCATCTTTTTTTGCATTTTGTGTGTCAATAATTATTTGCTGCCTAAATAGAATATACATACATACATACATACATATATATATATATATATATATATATATATATATATATATATATATATATATATATATATATATAAAAACTACCACGTTCCTTTATTTATATTTATTTATTTATTTGATTATATATATATATATATATATGTTGTCCATCGCATTCAGTGAAATATACACCCACAATATTTTTACAGACACGATCTCCCTCCACATATATATATATATATATATATATATATATATATATATATATATTATTTAGGCAGCAAATAGTTATTGGCCCACAACATAAAAAAAGATGATAAACAAAAAAACAAAAATTCTAAAAAAAAAACCGCACGACATAACACACGCATTCATATATATATATATATATATATATATATATATATATATAATGGTGAAAATTACTGTTGAAGTTCGAGTTTGGGTAATATATTTCACTGAATGCGATGGAACAATATAATTGATATATATATATATATATATATATATATATATATATATATATATATATAATTTCCCCTGAACATTTGATGGACAATGAAAATTTTCTAAAAGTCTTTTATTCAGCTTTTCTTATGTCCTTAAAGTGTTTCCGTTTATGGCGACAATGAGAAGCCATAGACTGACCGTTTTGTGATTTAAAATGCTTCCGGTCAATTCATTTATATATTTTCAATTCATTAGCCATACGACTATTGAAAGACATTTAGAACTTACTATAGATAATTAGATACTGCCAACCTCATATTGCGAAAGAACTCGTAAGATAATTGAAGCACTTTATATAAAACGGTTGAAATTCTACTTGTTTCAAAAGAACCTAGCAACATGAAATTACTACTGCATAAAATCTCGTACAGCTTACCATTACCACTACTTCCAGACAATACAACATGGACATCAAACCCACCTCATACCCACGAACACATACACGCACACACACACACACACACACACATTTACACATATATATATATATATATATATATATATGATAAAATCATGTAAAGGTAAATATAAAATTTCATTTAAGGAATTTAAACGTGATATTTTATCCTAACCTTTTTTTCTAACTAAAAGCCACACATTTATAAATGAAAATTCTTAAAGCAGGATTTTGATGGTGTTTTTTTTTCAGAGCTTGATAAAATGATCATTTCAAGACTACAATCTGCTGTCTTGAAAATAAATTAAAAGGTCTCCTGAAACATGTCTTACGCCACTCCTTTCGGTTTGAACAGACATACACACATATATGTATATATTGAGAGATGTTTTGTTGAATAATTTAGACATGTTTTGTCTACTTATTTTCAGTAGGATCCTTTCATATTCACGGATATCTTTTTAGTGTCGTTATTGAAGGACGAGAGAAAATCGCCTGTTGATATATATTACTTTTTTATTCCGAATAAAAACTTAGGACAATGTCATTAACAGGGTATTGTTTATTACTAGATAGATATTGTATGTTTTGAATTATTATTTAAAACAAAAATTGTTGTGATCATCTGAAAATTAAATTTCTTAAATGTGGAAGAAAAGTAAAAACCACTGAACACAATTTAAATAAAGATAACTAGGTATGGTGTGGAAGTATTTAAAAATGAGTTTATCTAAAAATCTAGTCAAAAAAACGAAATATGTATCAAAGGGAATTTTTTCTCGTCTTTCCTTTCGGTTGAACGCTCTTTAAGAATGAGAAATTTTAAGACAATATTTTTATTACAGCTACTAATAAATTCTCTTCGAAAACGAATCGAGTTCTCTCATTTACTGGCATGTTTATCTAAAAATTAAATATGTATATATATATTTAATCATTGTTAGTGCGCCAACGGATAAAGGGTAGATTCTAATCTTGACGCCAATTCAGGCAGGTTTCGATTCTATTTAAAATTTATTTTTTATATATATTTGATTGGTGATTGTGAAAGAATTCAAACAGTTTGTCTGTGGATGAAAATATATATATATATATATATATATATATATATATATATATATATATATATATATATATTGTCATCCAATATCAAAATTAATAAATTTATATCCTAATGATAAAACAAAAAACATAAAAGGATGATAATATATATATATATATATATATAAACAAACAAAAACACTAATAAAAAAAATAAATAAATAAAAAAAATAAAATAAAATAAAATAAAATAAATAAATAAATGTTTTTAAAAAAAAAAAAAAAAAAAAT